TACTTAGGAACACCTGGACTGTAGGATGCTCCCCCCCCCCCCCCCCCCCCCCCCCCCGCACCCCCCATCTTCTATGCCCTCATCAGTGTCTCATTTCCCTGCTCTGTCCCCATGCTCAGTGTGTTCTGGGAAACTGGTCTGACTCAGTTTAGAGGGAACCAGCTACTCTCGGTTTCCACCTTCTTGTGAGAACATGCAGGTCAGAAAGACACACCCTGCTGTCTGTTTTGGTCCAGACTGCCTGCACACTGGGGAAAACGGTATGCACTTGGAGTCTGTCTGATCAAAGCACAGGTGCAGACACAGGGAAGCAGCCTTGGTTCTTGTGCCTGCACAGCTGATAGCAAGAGCCTGTGCCAGAGCAGCTCTGCAGGCGGGACGTGGTGAGGACACGAGGCTGCCGTTGACGGTCTCCTTCTGGAACGTCTTCTACGGAGAATTAAACATTTACCTTTACTGGTGCTCTCTGTTCTTGGCACGTGGCCGCAGACTTCGGGCTGACCTGGCTCTCCCCGGCACCACAAGGCTGGATAGACGAAGGAAAACATACCGCCCTCTGCTCTCTTTGGTTTCCAAAGCCTGAAACTTCTTTGGTCACGTTTTGCTCCCACAGGAGTCTGAAAAATTAGATTTTGAGAAACTGGGGGCTGGGTGGTTCTTTTACAGCGTGGTAGGCCTCAGTTGCTGATTTTCTTCAGGTGGTGGCCTGAGATTGAATTAAGATGATTGTCAGGAAATTTTGGACCTCCTGGTTTTTAGTCTTTGTATTTGAGTTAGATTTGCAGAAAGATCATGAATTGCTAATTAAAAACCCTTTCTTTTCTTTGTGAAAATAATTCACGCTAATTATAGAAATTGGAAAAAATATAAAAAAAGCATAATGCCGAACATGTTTCTATTCAGGGATAATGACTAAAAGCATTTGTTGTATTTGCCTGTATTTTGTATGCATAATTAAGATCATTGTGTATAAATTTTGATTTCCGTTTTTGTTGCTTACCACATGAGCGTTCTCTCCTGCATTGGTTAGAGCACAGTCTAGGTGTTTGCATGGGTTTCTTGTAGCTGCTGTAATGACTTCCTGTGTATGGAGGGCCTTTAAACGGTGTGTGTTTATTCCCTTGAGTTTGGAGAGACAGAGTCCCAAATCAAGGTGCAGGCAGGACTGATTCCTCAACCAGCTATAGGGGTTTATTCCTTGCTCCCTTGCTTCTGTTAGCTGTGGCGTCCAGGTCTTACTCAGATTATTGCAAATTAAATGTAGTACTAGGATTTGAATCCACACCCAGGGCTTCAAGCATGCTAGGCAAGCACTCTGTTTCTGAGCTGTATCCCCAGATTGTGCTCTTTTAAACAAACAAACAAAAAATCCCCAAAAACTTGTTTTTCAGTTTTGAGATAGGCCATCACTAAATCACTCAGACTAGGTTTATGCTCACTCTGTGGCCTCTATTTGCCGTGAGTCCATCCCGGCTTGAACTCAAGGTTGTTGATATCTTCAGAGTGCTTGTTCATGTAAGGTTACATGCACAGCTTTCAGGATGGGGCCTGCCATCTCTAGGGCTCTTGTTCAATCTGTAGTGCTTAAGAGGGCCTCTGAGGCTGGACTGTGTGGGTTCGAATCCCAGAGCCCCTTCTTACAAGCCAGACAACCTTGAGCAAGTATCTTGATTCTCAACCACTCATTTTTTGATTGTAAAGTTGAAATAAAACACCTGCATTCCTGAGTTGGTCTAACCCTTGATGGTGTGTGTGTGTGTGTGTGTGTGTTTGTGTGTGTGTTGAGAGAGAGAGAGAGAGAGAGAGAGAGAGAGAGAGAGAGAGGGAGGACATATACAATACTTTCCATGCTTAGGGGAATGCCTAGCTCACTTAAGAAATGCAGTTGTTTTTATTAAAAATTCTGCATAACATGATTTTTTATTTTAATGGCTTAATAAAATTTTATTTATGATCTACCACATTTATTTATCTAATATTTTCTTTTTGTTGGCAAGAAGTCTTTTTGTTTTGTACCTCACACATAAGGCTACCGTGGATACACTTGACTGTCTAGTTTTGTTCTGTCTCAGATCAGTTCCCTACCATAGATTTTGGGAAATGGAATTGTGGCTTCAAAGGGTGTATGTGATTTTTCAGCATCTCAGAGTGTGGTGAGCAGCCTTCCAGAAGACTCACACCTGCCGTGTTCCTGCTGGCAGCTGAGATATGAGAGGGCCTGTGGAACACTATCACTTTAGAGCTAAAGTTTAGACACTCCCGGGTCTTCTGAAGTTGTGTGCAGTTAAGGCTGGGGTGTGAGTTTGCAAAGGGACCAGTGGCCTTTTGTTTTGAAATGATGCCCTGTTCTGCTATGTCTCAAAGTCCTTGTCTGTTCGTTTCAAAGACTGAAAGCTTCCTAGGAGTTCCTGAGGTCAGCGAGGATGCGTGTCTGTAGAAAGCGCATGTTGATGGCAGGTGGTTCCAGGTTTCTGTGTAGAGTTTGTTCCTGTTTTCAGACTTGGACGTTTAAAACTTGGCTTAGTGGTACTCAAACAGAAAACCAGTGGATTTAGTTTTGCTGCTAAAACCATGTGGGGCCCAGATGAATGGGTGAGAGGGTGGCTGTGTAAGCCGAGAACCAGCTGCAAGGTGCCACCTGCCTACTTCCCCTCCTTTCTTGCAGCGACTGCTGTGGCCTGGCTTCTGGGTCATGCAGGAGGAGCAGGGCTCTGAGCATGGTTCCAGGGACCAGATCAGAGATGCGTTTGCTGCAGTGCTGCTCGGGCTATCAGGAAATTGCGTCGGGGCTTATTCTCCCCAGATGTGAACTGATACGAATGTGCAGTAAATGCAATAACTTATCAGAGAGGAATTAATAGTAAGCAAGCCAGCTGAGGGCTGAACAGGAAAGAGTCTGCAGACGTGAGGATCATGGGGTAGCGTCATCATGGCTTAGTCAGGAGGCCAACTCATGGACTCTTACAAGATGCTCAGGAGAAAGCAGAGGGAAGATGGGGCCAAGAGATGGGGATGACACAGTCTCGAGCCAAGGAGTGCTGGTGCCCTTCAGAGCTGTGCGAGGAGGAGGAGCCTCCGGGGGCGATGTGTGTGTATGCTGCCTGCTTGGTTTCAGACTTCTGGCCTCGGCACCGAGAAGAAGTCTCTGCTGTTTTAAACTGCTTGCTTGGTGGCAGTTGGTTTTGAAGCTCATGCGCTAGTCCGCATTTGACACAACAGAGTGGCCCCTCTGATCAGGTGACAGCCTAGTGGCCGGACAGCTTCTAACCACCTTGACATTCTGTGCTCCTTGTCACCACTAGCACAGGAAGTTGGTGGCAGGTGGCACTATTTCGAGCCTTTTTTGTTCTATGAGCCTCATCCTCTTCCTTGTTTTGTGGGTGGGGAAACTGAGGCCTGGCCAGGAGCAGTGTAGGGCTGACTTTGCTGCTTGGACTGGGTAGGCAAGGATGGGCGGGTGGCAGAGCTGCCTCAAGGCTTGCTCTTGCATACCAGCTCCTGTCCCTGTCATAGTCTCCACCAGCATCCGCTCCTAAACGCCGAAGTAGCCCAAGTCCTTGGGCCACTGAGCTATCCCCCAGGCCCAGAAGCCAGGGTGTACGGTAGCCAGTAAGCCAGCTTCAGAAGATGGTGACCCTGTCGAGGCCGGAGACCATTCGGGGCTCCTCGTTCTCAGATTTCCAGTCCTCTGACTTTGCACTGCTAGCCCTGTCTTCTCTTTGGGAGCCTGTGTCAACTGTGCATCTCAACAGTGAGGTCGCTTCAGCTCTCACACTACTCCAGGGAAGTCCCGTGTCTTAACCTGACACGTGCGGCCTTCTCCTTTCCAGCCCTGCCTCCTAATCCCGCCTTCACCATCCTGTTCTCAGAGCCTTACCAGTCAGTGCTCCACAATACAGGGCTGAAAGTTTGGGTTTGTGCAGCGTGTGCGACTCCTGATTCACCAGGGCTAGAACTGATGAGGGAGTGTGGCAAGTGATAGAAATTGGTCACAAGTCTGGGATGTGCTTATTATGTGTGTAAGTGTGCATGCATGTATGTACAAGTATGCATATGTGTATGTATATGCATGCTTGTGTGAATGTGTATTTACATTCAATAAAATGAAAAATACATAAAGCAGTGTTGATCACCATCAGGTTAGTGAATTCACTTGAGACCCTCCAGCCTGGCTGGGCTGCCAGATGATTGGAGCCGTATCAGTAAGCCAGGCTAGACCAGAAACAATCAGCCATAGCCATACCACAAAACTGGTGCAAATCACATTGTATTACTTAAGGCAGGACACTGGTCTGGTAGAAAGGGTGGTGCATTAAAGCCAAGGCTTGGCCCTGAGTTGCTGGGTCTCTTTGGTGATGGGCATTGCTCCATTGCTCAGTTACTCTTTGCTCTGGACTCTTCTCAGATGCTCCCAGCTCTATTTTCAGTGAAACTCTTACGTTGGTGTTTTACAGGTCCTGCCCTGATGCTGCCCCTCGTCCCTGCAGTCTGCGCCTCCATCCTGAGGTCTCATGTCTCTGGATTTCAGGAATTATTTTTTGGCCTGTGCTCTGGGTCCCCAGACATCTTTTTCCTTGACTACTTTTGGGACAGTGGTGTGAGTCCCATGCTATTTCCTCCTTTTTTCTTTTCCTCACGTCTTTATTTCAGAAGCCTCTATATCTTCACTGTCCACTTCTACTCGCTCTCCTGGACCCAGCCCTGGGCCTCTCATTTTACAGTGTTGGTCGCAGGAAACAGGAATGCTCTCACACCATTTATGTTGGCAGAAGGTTGCCGCGGACTCCCAGGAATGCAGGGAGCAAGCGCAGCTGTCTGCTGGGAGTGCCAGCAGAGGTGCTCCCACCTGGGCTGTGTCCGCGTAGGACAGTGGACTGTCCGTCCTTCCCCTGGCAGCTGGAGAGGCGAGCCCCTGTCTGCCTTCTCAGCATGGGTGGCAGTCAGGATGGGTGGCCTACCTCCGCACACCTCTTACTCCTTCACTTCTGATTTCTCCACAGGAGTCACTAGATCACTCTGACTGGAAGTCAGCTGTCTGTCGTCACTGAAGCAGCAGCTCCTGAGTGTGAAGAAAAGGTAAAAACTCCCCATCCTTGGGGAGATGGCAAACCTGCCTCCTTGCTGCCTGGCCTCTTCTCGCTCATCAAAGACCTTCCTCAAACGTCTGCCCAGAGGCTGGTTTTGAATTGGGGTTGCACAGGAGGCAGCCTGGGGCGAGCGAGGTTTTAATGTCACTGTGGTTGTGCCTTGCAGACCTCACCCTTGTCCATGGGAGCCTCTAGGTGGCTTAGTGGACAGTTGCAGTAACTGTCTCCCTACCCAAACATTTTACTTTAAACCAGCCAGTAGGTGCCATTTCTCAGTTTCTGTACCTGCAATTATTCCAAAGAAGACTTTGGTTTATCCTGTCTTTGCTGTCCTTGGGTAGACAAGTGCCAGCCCTTCCTTGGTGATCACAGCAGTCTCTTGGGGCTAGAGTGCCTTCCCACTTCAGGTAATTCTACACACAGTTTCCTTCTCCCAGCGGTCTTGGAGGACAGACAGGCATATGGTAGCCTTTCATTCCAAGTCAACAAACAAGCTCAGAAGTTCAGAGCTTGCTCCGAGGGCACCAGACAATGTGGATGTAGTCTGTTTTCTCCCTCCATGTAGCATCTTAGTCTGCTCTCTGGAAACCATGGCAGGCTGCTTGTGTCAAGAAACCTGGAGCCCCACCCTTCCCAGCCTCAGGTGCCTTTCCGGGAATGTTGCTCTTCTGTTAACCCTGTGATTCTTCATCACCAGCCTGAGCTTTCCTCTACAGCCAATGTCCTCCCCCTGATACCTTCCAATCAGCCTTGAAAGTGCCCTCTCCCACTTAGGGTTTATTTAAATGCTGCGAGTATTGATGTGCTGTATGAATGCTGCATAGTCATACTTCATAAGTCAACTGGAAGTCAGTGTCCAATCAACTTGATCCTGCTGCATTTGACAGTGTTTTCGTTTTCCTTTTTTAAATAATTGCAAATGGTTCTGTCAATCAGGGTGGCACTGCACACCGAATTGCCATGTGGAATTGTTTAGTTAGATGCAATTTCTAAAAAAAGAAAAGAATCAACTTTTAATTAGAAAGCAGATTGTCAACTGACATTTGATTTGTCCTTTGATGAGGAAGTTGGAAAGCAGATGCCACAGTGCGAGGCCAGGTTGTGGTCCAGAAGGAGGCAGATTCGCTTGAGAGCAGGATGCAGTTTCAATGAACCATTGTTTCCTGAAATAGGCTGACCTTTCCGGTTTTTTGTTGGAAGGCTTTCCTCTGTATGTGATACCAGTTGTCCGTGGGACTGAACAGGAGTCCTCTAAACAGGACCATGCTGGCAAGGTGTAAGTTGCAGGGCCCATGACCAAGACCAGCACTCTCGTTACTAGGAGTACTTGAGTTGAGAAATCAGCAGACCTCCCATGATGCTGTATCTGAATAGTGAATGTATCAGGCTGTACACTTCCAGTTGTAGCATAAAGCAAATTTTAAAAAGGTTTTATTGTATGTTTCCGTCATATATTGTACTGTTACATAGAGGCATTTTCATGCACGTATTGTACTTTGAGTACATAACCACCCCACCCCACCCCACCCCCCACGTCTCTCTACTGTCCTCTTCCACCCATTAGTTCCTTTCTATATATATCAATCACTTTACATATCTCCATGAAATAAATAATCTAGGAAGCACAAATGAGAGAAAACCGAAATTTGTCTTTCTGAGACTGACTTAATTTGCTTAATGTGATTATCTTTGGTGGCAATCATTTTCTTGCAAATGACATAATTTTGTCCTTTATGGCTGAAAAAAATTCCATAAACCAAATTCTCTCTGTCTATTCTTCTTGTTGTTAGCTAGCTAAGGGTTTTTGTTTTCTTAACTTTCAAGCTCGGGTACCTGTGATGCTGGGGCTGTAACAGAGGCAGCCTGTGCACCTCCTGGGTGAACTTGGTCTCACTGGTTGCACTCCATCTTGAGTTGGCATGGTGGCAGGGACACTCAGTCACTGTGAGAGGAGAGGATGGCAGGAAGGGGTTGGCAATGACCACCTCAGGTGCCCATCATTCCCCATGACTCCTCTGTGCTCCATAGCTTTTTCTGTGTCTTGTTCAACAGTTAGCAAACGTGGGTATGGCAAGGGCACCTCGAACTCAGTGTGGTCATGTTTTAGCTCTTTGCAGATCTCTGCTCTCCCTTCCATCTCATCCAGATGTGTAGTAGTTGACTTGCTTTGCTTTTCAAACCAAGAAAGACTTGGAGAGTCATCTGGTCATGGTCACCTTTTCTCCTTCAAATCCTGAAGGTCTCAGTGCTTCTCTCAAAGTAAGTCTCAACCTCATCCAAACCAGCTTCCTGTCTCCTAGCTGCCTGCCAAGGCCTGTCAGCTGGCTTCCTGGCACCCCTCTGTCTCTGTTCCAATCCTCTCTTTGTGCTAAGGAGTATCTTTAACAGTACTGAACTTGGATGGAGCCTGTAGACTTGAGAGGACTCTGTGGGCTGAAGATTGCAATGACTCTGATTTTCCAAATACAATAAAGTATCTGTCAGGCTTTCAAAGGTGTAAGTAGGATGGCTGTTGTGTTATGGGACATGGAACAGGGGGCGATTTGTCCCCAGGAACCCTGGAATTTCAATTCTTAGAACTCAGAGGTGAATCATTATTTCATTTGGAACCTTGATAAGTTCACAGCTGATACATAGTGAAAAGACATTTTAACACCTCCTTCCCTCCCGAGTGGTCCTCTCCTCTAAATATTCTTGGCATAGGAATGTTGAGCAGTGTTGTAACTCAGGAACTCATGACTCCGTCTAGGCTTGTGGCAGAAAAGACCAGCATCCTGCAGGGGAGGAAGAAGATTCGAGCTGGCCGTACAACCCTCCTGTTCAACACTCTTCCCTGCAGCTTTGCTGTTCTTATCTGACCTTGAACTTTCTCTGGTGGGTGTTTACATCTACCAGCACATCTCTTGCTCTAACACCTCATCCTCCCAGGCTTCCTGGTCAAGGTAAGGAACAGGAATAGTGAAATTACAGCTGGAGTTTTGGTGCAGTGTGTCCTCTAAGGAACACAGCTGCTCTGTGTTCTTAAATTTGAACTATGACTGATGAATCATAGCAAAAAAATGACCGTGAGCTGCCTCACAGGAGATCCACAGGTGCCACGGGCTGTGGTTGAGTGTGTGTCAGAGATGGGCCTTTCCTCACCTTTAGAGCAGAAAGTAGTGTGATCTTTATGGTGGGTCTTAAGGGGAATTGCCAACCACTTCAGACAGTAGGAGGTCCGTAAGGCTGTCCTGATGGCAAAGTAGGTCGTTGGGGACATGTTGGGGTGGGGCATGGGCTCCAGCATGTGGGTAGGAGCTAGATCATGGAGGACCTTACTTGGGAACAGGGTTCAACAAGGAGTTTGGCTCATTTAATTCTGTAGCTAGAGGAACATTGTTATAGAATTTGCGCTAGGGAGTTCTGGGTCGGATTCCTCTTTGGAATATGACTGCCTTCTTAAAATCTCCCCACCCTGCCCCCAAAGGCAGAGGCCTTATTCCCATCCTGTGTCATTTAATCCATTGTTTTTTTTTTTAAGAAGTATTTATTTTATTGTGTGTATGTGTTTGGGGTGGAGGCATGTGTGCAGATCAGAGAACAGCGTGAGGGAGTCAGTTCTCTTCCACTGGGTGGTTCTTAGGGGTCAAAGCAGCTTGTAAGGCATGACGGAAGGCGCCTTTGCCTCTTGAGCTGACTCTCCAGCCCTTTTCATCTGTTCTTGTGGGTGTGAGACTCAGAATTCTGGACTCCCCTTTGTGGGGCCCAACTCCAGTTTAGTGACTTAACCGTGAAGATGCTGTGCCGCTGGAATGCAGAGGCCCAGTGAGTGCCCTGCTGGAGGATGGGAGAGCTTCTGCACTGCTCGCCAGGGAGGGCCCTGCAGCGGCGCCTGTACGGTCTGGCTTCCAGTTTCCTCAGGTCTTGGAAACAGCACTCTAATGGTGCCGTGTCAGCAAAATCCTGAATTTGTAACAGTTTCTAGCTGCTGGGAATCTAGATGTCTAATGATCAGTTACTGCTCACTTGGCTTTCTTGTTATTAGTCTGACAGGTTGGTTTTTAACCCTGCATATCGAGTAATGCATATTTATGCCAGAAATATTTTTTGTGTTGAAAAAGTTTCCAATGACTATACTTTCAAGCAGGCATGAGGTTTAGATGAGTCATCTGTGCCCCTCGACTAAAGATGTTCACATCTCCATATCTGCTGCTACAGTGATTTTGAAGCTTGCCATATGTTTTTGTTGGTCAGGGGAAGTGAGGGGATGGGCAGGTATAGCACTCTTTACCCTGCCCGTGTGGGCAGTGGTTTTAGATGAGATTAGGCATGTTTTCATACCAAGGGCTTTGAGAGAGTAGAGCGAAAACACAGGTTACACAACGGTTCCGCAACCTTCAGGAACAAAGATCAGCCTGAATTCAAGGCTGTGGGGATAGAGAAGAGAAGGGGACATGCAAAGCAGTATGGGGAGGGTGGAGCCGGAGGAAGAGAACTTCTGTGTAGCAGGAAGAGGGGGTAGGGTATTCCATGCTTTTGGCTCCAGCTGTGGTAACAAGAGGAGTAGGCTGACACCAGTCAGATGGGACAGCTTGAAGTAGCAATGTTCTCCCACTCCATGCAGACAGGTGTGTGACTGTGGATGAGCTGTATTCCAGGGCCAGATCAGCACCATGTGGCACCGGCAGTGGAAGTCACAGGGGCTGATTGGTTGAGTGCGAAGATGGCCCTTTGTTCCATTGGGATCCTGACATTTGGGAGTTGAGTGGCTGGAGGCAGGTCAGATAGGCACTGAAAGTCAGTGAGGATTGCAGCTTTACCTCATCTGGGGTGCAGTGACTCCGGAGTCCAGGTTTAGTATGTCGGAAGCTGATGAGCCCCTCATGAGCAGGTCAGAAGCAGTGAGTGGGCCGGCGACCGTACAGCTCTCCCTGACCGAGGCTGTTGGAATGTTCTTATTGATAGTGACTCCACAGAGGTCTGAGTGGACAGAGGCCGTGGCCAGCCTGG